ACTTTCTTTGTCGTTGCATTTCTAACTTTCTTTTGTATCAAATTTCCGTTCAAATTGTACACTGGAGAGGCGTTTGAGAAGAGATTGAAAACAAAAAAATTGCCAAAATGTAAACGCAACACTGTCGTGGACAAGATTGAGTGGTAGGGTACTAACAGCCCCGAATTAATTTATTGAACTGAAAGTCGAATGAATCAATTACATGTGTTACTAGTAATAGAATTTGAGGTGCTCGACATTCCAAGGATGTGCAAGTTGCTTCCCATTTAAGTCGACCAGTTCGTATGTTCCAGTTCGGACTACTCTCTAGATTTTGTAAGGGCCTTCCCAATTAGGGTCCAAAGCCCCAGCCTTTTGGAGGACTTTTTTTAGCACTAGGTCTCCCGTTTGAAAACGTCGTTGCTTGACCCTCGAATTGTAGTATCTTGTCATTCGATTTTGGTACTCATCATTTAACAAGTGTGTGTCGCTTCTTTGTTCTTCCAAAATGTCTAGTTGTAAATATAGAGCTTTCGAATTTCATTGTTCATCTAAGGGTTGCCTGGTTTAAGCTGAGGAAATGCCGATTTCAACCGGAACCACCGCTTCTGACCCAAATGCTAGCACGTATGGAGTTTGATTCATAGACCCCCTGGGCGTTGTTCTGTAGGACCAAAGTACTCCCAGCAACTCTTCGGCTCATCGCTCTCGTAGTCCTTCCAACTTCAATTTACTTCAATACTTTATTGATGGCCTCCATCTGCCCATTCGCGTTGTCGAATTGTCTCTCGTTATCAGTTATAATTGCATTTGGTATTTCGAATCGACATATAATGTTCCGCCACACGAAATTCCTCACTTTTGCCTCTGTTATTGTTGCCAGAGGTTCGGCATCTGCCCATTTGGTGAAATAGTCGACAACAACTATGACGAAGTTGGTTTGTCCTTTTGCTAGGGGTAGAGGTCTGATTAAGTCGATTTCCCATTGGGCGAACGACCATGGACTCGAAATGGGTTCCAACTCTTCCAGAGGTCGATGGATGACATCCGCGTACCGTTGGCACCGTTGCATTTTCGTACCAGCTCCTTCGCATCTCTGTAGATTCTGGGCCAATAGTAGCCTTGTCGGATTGTTTTCGCTGCAAGGGTACGAGCCCCAGAATGACTTCCACAAATTCCTTCATGGATCTCATGGAGAATATACTCAGCGTCCTCGGGTGCCAAGCATTTTAGCAGGGGAAATGAGAATCCTCTTTTGTATAACACACCTCCTATCACTACATAGTTTGCAGCCTGCCGTCTTAATTTTCGTAACTCCTGTGGTTCTCCTGGTTGGATCTCTTGGAGGTAATCGGCTATCGAGTCCAATCAACAGCGCGCGCGAGCTCTCACTTCACAGTTCTTTGTCTCACTTATAGATGGTGCGTGTAACATTTCTACCGGAACGGTGCGAGGCAGATCCATTTCGTAGGCCGAAGCTAACTTCGCTAGAGCATCTGCATTCGTGTTCTCCAACCTGGGAATTTGTCTAATCACAAAGTCCCTGAATTTGACCGACATCGCCCGTGCTCTTTCTAAATACTTGGCCATTCTACTATCTTTAGCTTGGAATTCTTCGGTGATCTAATTCACTATGAGCTAGGAGTCACTGAGGACGAGTAGGTGTGCTGCCCCCATGATTTGAGCCATCCGCAGTCCGGCCAACAAAGCCTCGTACTCAGCTTCATTGTTCGATGTCCTGGAATTGAAACGGATCGCATACTCGAACCGAGTTCCTTTGAGGGATTGTTGTAAGAGAATTCCTGCTCCGCAACCTTTCTCATTTGATGAACCATCAACGTACAATATCCATTATCGTGTCGAATTGCCCGTTACAGGATTAGGTGTCAGTTCGACCATAAAATCGACCACGGTTTTCCCTTTAACGACGTACGGGGTTCAAAGTCGATGTCGTACTCACTTAGCTCGATTGTCCACTTCATTAATCTCCCTGACGTTTCGGGTTTGTGGAAGACTTGTTTTAATGGACAGTTGGTTAGGACCTTGATCTTGTGGGCCTGGAAATAAGGTCGTAGTTGCCGGGCGAACGTTACTAAGGCTAGAGCGAGCTTCTCCATGCTGGGGTACATCATCTCTGCGTCGGTCAAGGACTTACTAGTGTAATACATCGGGTTCTGCCGAGCTCCAACATCGCGAATTAAAAATGAGCTTACTGTCGTGTCCGAAGTCGCTAGATATAGGTATAAGCAATCACCGGGCTCAGGTTTGGACAACAACGGTGTTGACGCTAAGTATTCTTTCAATCGTGTGAACACAAGCTCGCATTCCTCTATCCAGTCGAACTTTCCTTTGGTTCTCAATATCTTGAAAAAAGGGAGGCATTTGTTTCGCGACTGAGAAACGAATTGGTTTAATGCGGCTATTCACCCGTTCAAACATTGAAGTTGTTTCAAGTTCTTTGGTTACTCCATTTCTAATACCACTTTGATTTTATCTGGGTTTGCCTTTATTCCGTGTTGATGTACCATGTAGCCCAGGAATTTTCCTGATGAGACCCGGAACACACATTTAGTCGGATTAAGCTTCATCTGATACTTGTTTAAAACGCCAAATGCTTCCGACAGGTGAGCCACATGTCGCTCTGCCGTTATGCTCTTGACAAGCATGTCATCCACATAAACTTCCATATTACGCCCAATCTGTTTGTTGAACATCATGTTCAGTAAAAGTTGGTAAGTCGCGCCCGCATTCTTTAGGCCGAAAGGCATCACCTCATAGCAGTAGAGTCCCGGTCTGTGACAAATGTTGTATGTTCTTGATCAGACACATACATTTTAATCTGGTTATAGCCCGAGTAGGCATCCATGAAGGTCAGCAATTCGTGGCCAAATGTGGCATCCACCAATTGGTTAATGCGCGGTAGTGGAAAGCTATCCTTCGAGCATGCTTTATTTAAGTTGGAACACACATACGCCATTTTCCATTAGCTTTTTTAACCATTACTACGTTGGAGATCCACGCGGGGTAATTAACTTCTTTTATGAAATTGACTTTGAGGAGTTTATTAACTTCCTCGGAGATTACATGACTTCGCGTGACGTCCACAGGTCTATGCTTTTGTTTAATCGGATTACATTTTGGTTCTGTATTCAACCTATGAACTATGACCCCAGGGTCAGTTCCCGGCATATCCTCGTGGGACAAGGTAAACAAACCCGTGTTTTCCTATAGAAAATTAACGATCGTTTCACGTATGGGCGCTTTCATCCCTGTCCCGATATTGACTTCTTTCTCGGGGGATCCCAACTGGATTTGGTCGAGCTCTTCTCTTTGGAGGTTCCAACTTTCGCCGGGCTCAATCAGTTCTCCTCGGGAAGGCTCCTCTTTCTCATGTTCTAGCATTGAGGTCAAGGACTCGTTTTGTATCATTGCGCATGTCTGGGTTCCTCGTAAGGCCGTGGTGTAACACTCCCTTGAGGCTTTTTGTTCCCCTTTAACTATCCCGACCCCTCTTGGGGTTGGGTATTTCATCATCTGATGATACGTCGAGGGTATAGCCCGTAGCTCGTGAATGAACGGCCACCCAAGTATCGCGTTGTACGTAGAGGTGCCGTCGATCACGACGAACTCAACAACCTTCCAGACTTTGTCGTCCCCTTCGTCGACCAAAACTGGCAGTTTTATATAGACCTTCCGCTATCACAGATTCCCCTGAGAAGCCTACCAATGGAGTCGGGCACTACTTCAGTTGCGTCCTCTCCAATCCCAAGGCCAAATACGTTGAGAAGGATAACACGTTGGTAGATGCCCCTCCATCTACCAATACCCTCTTCACCCGTACATTGTCGATTATAGGAGCAATGACTAATGCATCATTATGTGGTATATGGATCCCTTCCGAATCTGTCGTGTGGAAGGTTATAGCGGGCACAGGCTTGGCGTGGGAGGTACTATTTACTTCGTGTTGTGCTTCCCGGACCAGGGCCTTCCGCTTGTTTCCAGATTGTCTGCCACTAGGGCCACTGAAGATCGTATTTATGACCACTGGACGTTTTCCCTCGTCTCTTTTCTTTGGTGTTGACGAGGGGTCCTCGTCGCCCCTGTCCATCCTGTCATACTTTCTTTTTCCTGACCATGAGCACGCGTCCTTCTTCCCGACATATTTTTTCAGGTGACATTTTCGAATCAAATCCTCGATCTGATCTCTATAGCACTGGGAGGTGTCGTGGTCGTGGTCTCTATGAAACCGACAGTACTTGTTCCGACTTCTCTTGTCAAGACTCAGTTTCATCTTTCCCGGTTTTTCCAGCATTGTATGCAAGTCTCTGCTTTCTATGTTGGCTAGGATCTCTGCTATAGGGACGTTGAGAGGTGTATACTGATCGAACTCGCGTAATCGCCTATTGGGTACTGTCACTGTTCGAGGTAGTGAAGGTCGATTGTCTTGATTTGCCCGCTTGTGGTCACCCTTGTTGGAGTGGTCCTTTTTCAGATAAGAATCACTACTTCGACTGCGGTTGTATTTTGAAGTCATGGTTTGGTACTGTAGATGTTTAGCCTTGAGCATGTCTTTGGCATGCATGTGTTGTCTGGCCCTCTGGATTGCCTCGCTGTACGTATGGGTAGGCTGCAGCGCGTAAGACTGGATCAGGTCGAGATTGTTTACGGCTACCATGAACGTCATTCTGGCCACGTCGTCAGAATAGTCGGGGACTTTGATCTTTTCCAACATGAATCTCCCCACAAACTCTCGCAAGGACTCGCTCTCTTCCTGAAGGATGGTCATCAGGTGTGTCCGGCTTTTTCCTGTCATGCTGAGTTGAGAACTTATTGATGAAGGCCTTTCTCAATTCCCTCCAGGAAGCTATCGACTTGGGCTTTAGCTGCCGGTACCATGACCTAGCTTGCCCTTTTAGAGTTATGGAGAAAGCCTTACACTTCATTTCGTCCCCGGCTGCACTTAGCTCCATCAATCCCTCGTATAATTCTATGTGGTCGACTGGGTCGGCTGGCCCATCATATGGTTTCATATCTGAATTTTTCATTTTAGGGGCAATGGATATGTCATAATCGCTGCTGTGAAGGGTGGCTCATCCTTCTCGCCGAGCCCAACCCACGCTGTGTCATCCGGGTTGCAACTCTGTTTGAGGGCTTCGAAATCACTCTGAAGTTTGCTTATCACTTCTCTCATCGGGTCCTGGAATTTCGGGGTGTCCTCTACCCTCTAATGAGGGAAGGTTGCCGTAGATGGGGTGGTGTTGTCACCTGTGCAGCGGTT